AGGGCTCATTTCCCAATTTTTAATATTAAGCACATGCTACTTTTGTAACAAAAATTAAACGTAATTATTTACAAGAGGGTTCTACATACATACAACTGTTCACTGTTTAGCCCCATCTGGCTTCCTCACTGGCAACGTCCCCAACTCTTTTTCTTTAGACTGGAAGGGACCCAACTGCCCGTCGGATCCCAACCCCCATCTTACCAGTGAGGAGACTGGCACCCTCACCCTTGTCGCGTCGGCTGTGTTCTCTGCAGGGAGAATTCACAGTGACCTCCTCTGACTTCCTTACCAAGGGATAGTTAAAGAAAACCCAGCAAAGAAATAGCAAATGGAGGGCCGTTAAATCCTTAAATAAGGAAAGTTTGTGTGGCGCATTTACGTCCTTTAAAAACATTACCCTTTCTCCTCCCCTCTACTCACGGAGTCTTCCTGGCAGCTGGCAGATCCCCCCCTCGCCCAGCAGGTCCACTCGAGCATCACTCCTGGCTTGGGCCTGGGTGCCCGGAGGTGGCGCGGCTGCTGCGGGGCTCACCGGAGAGCCGGCCAACGCCCCCTCCTAGAGAGAGGAAACACCAGGGTAGTCAGAGGCGAGCACCTTGGTGTAGGCTCCGCCATCCTTAAACGTATTAAGAGTTTTTTTTTAATGTGTCTTTATGGTAGACGCACCTCTGTGTCTTCCGTAAAGGTAGGAACCATGTATGTCTTCACTTGATACCATGAACATCTTGTACACAGTGGGCACTTGGTAAGTTCACCTTTCCTAGTCAAGCTTTTCGTGCCTGTGCCTAACCCCCCACCCGCCACCCCCCAGAAGGCTGCCCTGCCAAGACTTGACTTGTAAGCTGGAAATCTGAGGGCCTAATGATACTCAGTGAGAACCTGAGAGGCCAGGATAAAAGGACCTTAAATCAGAAATAAACAAACAGGCCCCGCCGGGCATGCCTCAGCAGTTGAGCATGGACCTAGGATCCAGGAGATCGGGGTTCAATTCCCGGTCAGGGCACATGCCTAGGTTGTGGGCTCGATCCCCAGTTGGGGGCATGCAGGAGGCATGCAGAAACATCAATGATGTTTCGATCTCTCTTTCCCTCTTCCTTCCTCCTTCTGAAATAAATAAATATATATATCTATAGATATATATATAGATATATAGATATCTATATATATATGAAGAAATAAACAAATAATTCAATGCTATTTTCAAAAGACATGATAAACTTCTGAACCCCAAAGTCCCACCAAGGGAAGTATGTATCTTTACAATTCTATCAGCCTAGCCCCCAGGGGTGATGTAGCTCATTCAGCAGGGTGAGGGGATGAAAAATGTGGCAGGGTTTTATAGAGACAGGGGGACCCTTGGGGCTCAGCCCTGTCGCAGGCTGCCATACCCTAAAAAGTGAAAGTGAAACCAGTCCCAGCAAGAATCATCTGTTCACTCTAAGCTCTTCAAGGGCATTACATTCATCTCTCGGTGTCTGAGGGGAGCAATCTGCAGTAAAAGACCATGGACCCGAAACCAGCAAAGCAAACTCCAAAAGCCTTGGTCACTGCAGAACAGGATCCAGCACCTTTTGGGGTAGTCCCCAATTCATTTCTGGCGCCCCCCTCCTGCCCCAGTTGGTGCTGTTTCCCAGGTAACCCAGCCTCAGAGGAGGGGTGGGGGGGCTTGACAAGCTGGAAGGGGCACTTAAGGCCCAGGACTGGCCCAGGACTTCCAGGCAGACCCTTGTCTTCTCCTCCAGCCTCTTCCAAGCAAGAGGAGCGGGGAATTCCGGGCCTGCGCCTGCCTGCCTGCC